AGAAAGGCTTGTATTGCTATATACTTTCCTCTTAGGACTGCCTTTGCTGCATCCCAAAGATTTTGAATAGTTGTGTTTTCATTTTCATTGGTTTCCATGTATTTTTTTAATTCTTCTTTAATTTCCTGGTTGACCCATTCATTCTTCAGTAGGATGCTCTTTAGCCTCCATGTATTTGAGTTCTTTCCGACTTTCCTCTTGTGATTGAGTTCTAGTTTCAAAGCATTGTGGTCTGAAAATAGGCAGGGAATGATCCCAATCTTTTGGTACCGGTTGAGACCTGATTTATGACCTAGGATGTGATCTACTCTGGAGAATGTTCCATGGGCACTAGAGAAGAATGTGTATTCCATTGCTTTGGGGTGGAATGTTCTGAATATGTCTGTGAAGTCCATTTGGTCCAGTGTGTCATTTAAAGTCTTTATTTCCTTGTTGATCTTTTGCTTAGACGATCTGTCCATTTCAGTGAGGGGGGTGTTAAAGTCCCCCACTATTATTGTATTGTTGTCGATGTGTTTCTTTGCTTTTGTTATTAATTGCCTTATATAATTGGCTGCTCCCATATTAGGGGCATAGATATTTACAATTGTTAGATCTTCTTGTTGGATAGATCCTTTAAGTAGGATATAATGTCCTTCCTCATCTCTTATTACAGTCTTTGGTTTAAAATCTAATTTGTCTGATATAAGGATTGCCACCCCAGCTTTCTTTTGGTGTCCATTAGCATGGTAAATGGTTTTCCACCCCCTCACTTTCAATCTGGGGGTGTCTTTGGTTCTAAAATGAATCTCTTGCAGACAGCATATCGATGGGTCTTGTTTTTTAATCCAATCTGATAGCCTGTGTCTTTTGATTGGGGCATTTAGCCCATTTACATTCAGGGTAACTATTGAAAGATAGGAATTTAGTGCCATTGTATTGCCTGTAAGGTGACTGTTACCGTATATTGTCTGTGTTCCTTTCTGGTCTATGTTGCTTTTAGGCTCTCTCTTTGCTTAGAGGACCCCTTTCAAGATTTCCTGTAGGGCTGGTTTTGTGTTTGCAAATTCCTTTAGTTTTTGTTTGTCCTGGAAGATTTTTATCTCTCCTTCAATTTTCAATGACAGCCTAGATGGACATAGTATTCTTGGCTGCATATTTTTCTCATTTAGTGCTCTGAATATATCCTGCCAGTCCTTTCTGGCCTGCCAGGTCTCTGTGGATAGGTCTGTTGCCAATCTAATGTTTCTACCCTTGTAGGTTACATATCTCTTCTCCTGAGCTGCTTTCAGGATTTTCTCTTTGTCTATGAGACTCGTAAGTTTTACTATTAGATGTTGGGGTGTTGACCTATTTTTATTGATTTTGAGAGGGGTTCTCTGTGCTTCCTGGATTTTCATGCCTGTTTCCTTCCCCAAATTAGGGAAGTTCTGTGCTATAATTTGCTCCATTATACCTTCTGCCCCTCTCTCTCTTTCTTCTTCTTCTGGGATCCCAATTATTCTAATGTTGTTTCATCTTATGGTATCGCTTATCTCTCAAATTCTGCCCTCGTGATCCAGTAGTTGTTTATCTCTCTTTTTCTCAGCTTCTTTATTTTCCATCATTTCATCTTCTGTATTACTGATTCTCTCTCCTGCCTCATTTATTCTAGCAGTTAGCGCCCCCATTTTTGATTGCACCTCATTAATAGCCTTTTTGATTTCTACTTGGTTGGATTTTAGTTCTTTTACTTCTCCAGAAAGGGTTTCTCTAATAACTTCCATATTTTTTTCAAGCCCAGCTAGTATCTTTAAAGTGATGATTCTGAACTCTAGATCTGACATCGTACTAATGTCCGTATTGAGTAGGTCCCTGGCAGTCGGTACTACCTCTTGTTCTTTTTGTTGAGGTGATTTTTTCCATCTTGTCATTTTGTGCAGAGGAGAATAGATTAATGAGAGAACAAAATGCTAGCAGAGTAACCACGTCCCCAGAAAATATACTCTAAACAAATCAGAAAAGACCTGAAGCAGTGGGAAAAGAAAGGGAAAGAGAGAAAAAAGAAAAAGAAAAAAAAGAAAAAGATAAAGATAAAAACAAAAACAAACAAAACAAAACAACAACAACAACAAAAAACCCAGAATGTGATCAAATATGATCAGGCTGGTATATAGATCAGTGCCACACACTAGATTTGGGGTGTATTTTGGTCTTTTAGAAGAAAGTGCCTCCCAAAACTTTAAAGAAAGAAAAACTTATATATGTACAAAAATAAGGGTTGATATGATGAAGGGATGGAATATGACTGTAAAGATGGAAATTATAAAAAATTTTATAAAAGGAATTGATAAGAAGTTGTTTGAAAAAAGAAAGAAGAGGATTTAAAAAAAGAAAAAAGAAAAAAAAAAGGGAGAGAATGTGATCAGGCAGGGGAATAGAAAACACTATATACTAGAGATTTAGGGTATATTTTAATCTGTTAGAAGAAACTATCTCAAAATTTTAAAGAGAGAACAACTTATATATATAAGCCAAAAATATGGGTAACTACTATGAAGGGATAGAATATGATTCTAAAAATGAAAAATAAAAATGTTTTTTTTTTTTTAAAGTGATTGATAAGATGTTGGTTGAAAAAGGGAAAAAGAAAAATTCAAAAAGAAAAAAAAGAAAAAAGACAGTTAAAAAAAAATTAACTTTGAAAGACTAAAGAATCATGGTAAAAAAGCCATGAATTCTATGTGCAGTATTCCCCTAGCGCTGGAGTTCTGCCGTTCTCATTGATCGGTAAACTTGGTCTTGGCTGGCTGTTCCCGCTGATCTTCTGGGGGAGGGGCCTGTTGCCGTGGTTTCCAAATGTCTATGCCGGAGGCGGAATTGCCCCGCCCTTGCCCCCTCCCGGCTAAGTAATCTGCTCGGGTTTGCTCTCCGGAGCTTTTGTTCCCTGTGAGCTTTCCGTACAGCTTTGGAGGCGGAGAGTGAAAATGGCAGCCTCCCAATCTCCACCCCGGAGGAGCCGAGAACTCGGGGCCCCGCTCCTCAGTGCACCCCCAGAGAAAAGCAGTCAGTCACTCTCCTCTCCCCAGTCTCCGGCCGCACTCCGTGCTCGCCCGGCCTGTGACCGCGCGTTTCTATCTCTGGCACCCGACCCCGGGTGGAGTCTCCAAACCCAGCAGATCCCTGCGGTGCACTCCCGCGCGGCTCCTCCCTGGGGGGAAGGTGAGTCTCCCCGGATCTGCCGCTTGTTGGGTCCCTGCTGGAGGAGCAGGGGCCCGACTGTGCCGCGGATCACGGTTTATGGCAACCCCGAGCTGAGAGCCCGCGCCTGGGCTCCGCCTCTGCAGCCGGCTTCCCTGCTCCGTTACCTGGGAGCTCTGCCACACTCAGGCACCCCCGGTCTTTCTGTGACCCCGAGGGTCCTGAGACCACACTGTCCCGCAAGGGTTCCACCCCCCGCTTAGCCACCAGAGTGACGGCCCTCAGTGGAGCAGACTTTTAGAAGTTCTGATTTTGTTCTCCGTGGTTCTATCACTTGCCAGAAGCGGCTGACGGAGGCCCCTCCCCCGCCGTCTATCCTCCCGAATATCGCCTCGGATTCACTTCTCCGCACGTCCTACCTTCCAGAAAGTGGTCGCTTTTCTGTTCAGAGAGTTGTTGCTATTCCTTTCTTCAATCTCCTGTTGAGTTTGTGGGTGTTCAGAATGGTTTGATCCCTATCCAGCTGAATTCCTGAGAGGAGACGAAATCCAGTTCTCCTACTCCTCTGCCATCTTGCTCCCCCTCTAAAGCAATGTTTTAAGACAGTTTTTTTTCATCATGAGTGAGTCTTCAAAATTCCCCCAAATTAATTATTTTTATACTAATTCTGCAAGGCATACACAAGCTTTTACCTAGTTAAAAGGTTCTTTAAGCTCTTAAAGCATAGGCAAAATTTTGTCCTTGTTTATCTGCCTTTTTTTCTGGAGAGATTCCACATTTCTCATCATCACATTCCTTAACTGCAGCCCTAGAAACTTAGACCAGTCTTGTTTGGTTATTTTTCAAGACAAATGAAGGTTTCAATTTTTAAAATTTAATTTTTAAGTTGATAAGTTGCTGTGCAATTTACAGAAAAAATGGGTAAAGGAGGCTTAAATATGTTTAAGTCTTACTGTTTCAAAATCTAATGATTATTTCCTGTTTCAAAAAAGGATCAATAAGTTTTAAAAGAGCATTTTTTCTAATTCTCTTCATTTGGGGAGATTTTATTCTTACTGTGTACTATTTTATACTATCTTAAGTCTGTATTATGTCAACTCTGCCTCTCATTGTAAATGTAGATAGTAAAGAAAATATTTTTCATATAAAATAATCTCTCAGATATTGTTGTCTTCATTTTATTCATACATTCATTCAGCAAACATTTGTTGAGTATTACATAGTAAATATTGGATAGACAAGAAAGAATAAGACACGATTTTTGTCTTCAGGGAGATGAAAAATATATCTAGACAGGTTTAAATAATTATATTTGAAAGAAGAGTATAAATAAAGAAGGAATTGGTGGTTGGTCCCAACAGGAAACAGAATGGGGAACATCCAAGACGCATAGAGCTGCAAGGCCCACTGACAGGTAGCAGTAGTTGGATGTGGCTGAAACAATAGACTGGTACATAGAGAAGGAGTTGCTAGAGATGGAGGTTGAACGTGGTTGGAGCCAGGTTTTGAAGACTTTAAATACTGTATTAAAAAGTACGCCCTATAAACAGGGAATTCTTAAATATTTTTAAGTCCCAGAGTAAAAGACAGGATCTGAGAATATTAGATGATGTTAGCTAATCTTATTATGTGGTAATTAAATGTGTTCTGAATGTACTTATAGTTACGTCACTGAAAAATTATCACTAGGTGGTTTTTCATAGATTTTAATAAATACTGATTATCTCAGAAACATTAAATATAGATTTTTAATAGTTTTCATATTTGGCATATTTAAATATTTGCCGTATTTAAAGATAGTATTTACCTGAGGCGTGTGTTTTTTAATTCCTTTTTTTCAGATATAAGAAAGACCGGATGGATGAGGAACTCATGGAACCACTGAAATATGCTGAACAACTTCCTGTAGCTCAGATAATACACCAGGTTTGCTTCCCCCGTTTTATTCTTTGGAGAGAAACAAGAATTTTAATCTTTGAAAAGTAATTGCCTTTGTTAGGTTTTTCAAAATCAGTGTGGAATAGCTGAAAGGCATTCCAGGCCATCTATCACTATTTAGACCCCACTTAATACAGTTGGAAGTCTCATCAAAATGCAGTATTAAAAGGCTACTTGCTGTGCATAGTGGAGCTCTTACTTATATAAAATACAGGGTAAAATCAGAATTATCTTTTGTTCATTACTTAACATCAAGACTTAATTTCAGAAAACTTTCATTTGAACCACTGTAGCACTTGTTAGTGACAAGGAAAAAGAGCTGGAAAATTGTCATTTGGTGTAATTTTTTTGAGTAGCTAAAATAAGAAAACAATCTTTCCTTACTTCCTTCACCCTACCCCATTATCAACTCTTGTAAAGTGTAATTCTAAATGTCATGTGGGCAGGTTTTTTTTCATTTCCAATTAGAATGACTCTATCATCCGTTCTGCATAACTGTAATCTTAGAGAAGGCAGTATGGTAGGTATTTAAACTAAGATTTTATGGTGTGACTTTGACAGCATATAAAGTCTGGCTCTGTCCTGGCCAGAATCTAAGAATTTTAAGTGGTCTGTTGACAAGAGTCATGGCCTTTAGAACTACCAGATTTTTCAGAATCTATAGATTATAGAAAGTATAAAAGCTCTTAAATATCAGAATATATCAGAATCTGAGGTGACTGTTAATTATTAATATGAGTCTTTCCATATGTCTTTGTCAACCAAAACGAGAAATTACAAAAAAAAATATGACCAGAAATTTGCTGCTTTGGGAAGCCTATCTGTGTTTGGTAATCAGGTCCAGTTTATATGTCAGGAATTCCCTAGTGTTGTCAGAGCTTAAATGACCTAACAGCCTGCAAATGTCACATTTAAAATTCTGTCTTCATGCCTGACTCTCAGCATAAATGAATTAAACAGCAGAGCAGGCAGCAAGTCAATATGTTCTTAACAGTAAGAGTGAGCAATGAAACAGTTTGTGGTTTGTTCAGAATAGGTAAATAGAATCTGCCCAGAGCAGTTCACCTGGAATAAAATCTGAAACAGGAAACAAGAATTAACCTTTAGGATGGTTGACCAGATGAAATGTCAGTCATATTTTTATAGCATGAATGAACCAGTAAACTATGCTTTATGTAACAGCTGCATTTTGCTATTACACACTGTATGAATTCAAAGATGAAAATTTTTGACTCTGGTAAAAATTTGCATTATGGTATATTTGGCAATATGAGAAGCTATATTAATTTTAACAGTGAATTATAACATTATAATAAAAATTATATAGTACCTGCAATTACAAAATTTCAATTTTTAAGAGATTTGCAGGATAAAAGATTCATTTTCTTTTATTTTTATTGAATAAAATTAATTCTGTTCTCAAGGGGTAAACAGGAAAGGGCATTGTTAAACCAGGCTCTTATTTATTCTTCTTGTTATTTCCTTTTACTGACAGTACTACAACTTTGGGACTGTTACTATCACCTGTCCAAGTGGTCTTTAAGAAATATAGGAGTTATGTTGCTAAAGTTCACTTGTAAGTGAATTATTTGAAAGCAGTTTCTTCCTCTAAGAAAATAGCAATACATATGCCAGTTAGGTTCAGCCAATCCCTCAAAAGCTTTTTAATGTATAATATATCCAAATTATAGCATAATTGTCATATATATGTAACCTCTACCTGTTACTGTTTCTATACTATAAGCAACTATTTTCCTCTGCTCTTGATTCATGCCTATTTTGAAGCATGTATCATTTCTATTTGAAATAACATTATTTATTCATATGTCTTTCATTTCGTACTTGAATGTCTTTCTGGACGTTCTTAATTTCTTGATACTCTTTTCAGCATCTTACCTTGTGCGATATATGCATATATCTGAATGTATGGATATGTATTTTTAGTGGTACACTGAGAGCCAGCAGCACCTCTTTTCCCTACTACCCAGACATCAGAAGCCAGAGCCTCTCACTCGTAGCACAGTTTAGAAGCTATAGGAGAGGAGGAGCAGGGACACGGTCTCTAACATGAGGAATAACTTGAGAAATGGAAGAGAGAGGAATGGGTCCCAGTTTTCTGTGTAATTTCTTTTTTCTTTTTTTTTTTGAAGATTTTATTTATTTATCAGAGAGAGAGAGCACAAGCAGGGGGAAGTGGCAGAGGGAGAGGGAGAAGCAGGCTCCCCGCTGAGCAGAGAGCCCAATGTGGGGCTCGATCCCAGGACTCTGGGATCATGACCTGAGCCGAAGGCAGCCACTTAACTGACTGAGCCACCCAGGTGTCCCTCTGTGTAATTAATTTCTTGTGTATGTTACTTAAATAGCATTTTACAATCAGGAACTAAGCAAGATTCTCAGTGTTGCCATTTTATACTGTCAAATTATTTACCATTTTTAGGGGTCCTAGCAATATGATTAGGGTAACACAAGAAACTCGAATTATAAACAATAGAATTAATAAAAGAATCTGGTAAGATAACTAGATATAAGATAAATAAAACTGATAGCTTCTCTGTATTTGCAATAAGCACACAGAATGGAAATGGGAAAATTTTTCTTTCACAACAAGGAAAAGAACTATAAAATACTTAGGAGTAAATTTAACAAGTAAACCACAGGACCTATATAATAAGAATTACAGAAACATACCATGTTTCATAAGCAGACATACCAAATACTTGATGGGCTGCAGGGGACTTAATATCATAAAAATATAATTTCTTCTGAATTAGCAATTCTAATTAGAATGGAAACAAAAAAAAATGTTTTTAATGGTAGGAAAAAGTTGACCACATAGTTCATGTGGAAGAACAAATATCCAGTAGTAGCTAAAAAGGGAGATGCACCTGCCTTACCAGATATCAGAACACAGCCACTAGAATTAGATACATAAGAGCAAAGGAATAGACATATTTGTCTATTGGGACAAAGGAATAGACAAATGGATTAATGGAATATAATGGAAGAAATGAAGATTTCAAATTTTATTTATTATAACTCACAATAAGAAATACATTTTACATGCATCATGACCCTTGATGTGTTTATATGTTTGTGTTAAAAAACAGAAATAAAGGGGTGCCTGGGTGGCTCAGTCGGATGAGTGTCCAAGTCTTGGTTTTGGCTCAGGTCATGATCTCAGGGTCATGAGATCCCCCGCGTCTGGCTCTGCACTCTGCATGGAGTCTACTTGAGATTCTTTCCTTACCCCTCTTCCCACAGGCCCTCTCCCCACACATGCGTGCTCTCTCTCTCTCTAAATAAATAAATGAAATCTTAAAAAAAATAGAAATAAAAGTTTCATGAAGCACTTACCCTTGTTATATATGATATATACTGATATTTTCTTTATTTTGTATTTTTTAAAATGCCAATAAAGCCTACTAAATTGATTTTAAAAGCAACAAGTAGTCCTAACCTGTGGCTTGAAAAACACTAGAATAGAGAATCCAGAGAAAATATTCATTATATTTGATCATTTAATATATGATTAAGATGATACATCATTTCAGTAGAAAAATGGTTAAGTTTCTGTTTCATACTGTATATGATGTAGATTTTCTATAAAGACTTAAAGTAAAATAAATAATTTTAGAAGAAAATTTAGGCAACTGCATTTATAATCTGGAAGTAAGGTAGAACTTTTTAATAAACACAAAAACCCAGAAGATATGTTCACTTCCAAAAAATTGAATATTTTATACAACACAAGATACCAAAACATTTAAAGACTAATGTAAAAATCAAGACAAAATGTTTACAGAGAAGACAATAGTAAATTAGTTAATATCTAAAATATACACAGAACTCTTGGAAGTTTTTTTTTTTAAGTTTTTTTATTTATTCATTTGAGACACAGAGATACAGAGCGAGAGAGAGAGCAGAGCATGAGCAGGGGGAGAGGCAGAGGGAGAGGGAGAAGCAGGCTCCCTGCTGAGCCAGGAGCCAGATATGGGGCTCGATCCCAGGGACCCAGGGATCATGACCTGAGCCGAAGGCAGACGCTTAATCTGAGCCACCCAGGCACCCCAAACTCTTGGAAGTTTGTAAGAAGCAAAAAAACTAACTCAGAAAAAAAAGACGAGAAATGAAAAGCAGCTCAAGAAAAACAAACCTAAATTACCAGTGAATGAAAGAGAAGAGTCTCAAACTCAGTAAGGAAGTGCACATTATAAAGTTGGTGGAACTATTTTATGCCCATCAAACTGGCAATAATTAAAATCATACTTTGGAAAACAGTTTGGCAGTTCCTTAAAGGGTTTAAACATAGAGTTACCATATGACCTAATGATTCCAACCTAGGTATATAAAAACATGCATCCACACAAAAACTTATACATGAATGATCATAGCAGCATTATTCATAATGGCCAATAATTGGAAACAACCCAAATGTTCATCTACTGATAAATGGATAAATAAAACACAGTGTATCCATACGGTAGAATATTATTCAATGATGAAAGGGAATGAAGTACTGATACATGCTACAACATGGATGAACCTTGAAAACGGTATGTTAAATAAATGAAACCAGTCCCAGAAGACCACATATTATATGGTTACATTTATACAAAATATCAAGAATAGGCAAGTTTATACAAAGAGAAGGTAGATTAGTGGTTGCCTTGGACTGGAATGAGGTGGAGAAATGGGGACTGACTTCTGAATAGGTACAGGGTTTCTTTTCTTGGAGTGATAAAGATGTTCTAAACTTACTGGTGATCATTGCATAGCTCTGTGAATATACTAAAACTATTGGATTATACACTTTAAAAGGATGAATTTTATAATATCTGAATTATAGCTCAACGATATTTTAAAAATTAAAATTACCCATTTCTGGCAGAGATGCTAGGAAAAAGGCACATGTATACCTTGTTGCTAGGTATCTGAATCATTTCTACCTTTTTAGAAAGTCATCTTGTAACATCTCTTCACATTTAATA